CGAGTCGGCGCCCGCAAACGGTTGAAGAGGATCTTTGAATTTAGGCTCGACCAATCAGGTGGCGCAGCGGGAATATAGCAAACAACCTCCCAATTATGGTAGGGGGTCTGCAGCAACTAATGAGGTCTCTGATTGGTCTGGACAAAATTTGACCTTACCATCGCCTGAGGGCAGGCTCTATTTTGGAGGGGGGGGGTGATGTGACGATTCAACTTGCCTGTCGTCACGTGAGCGGTGAGAAAAGCGGTGAGGTATAGGTACGGCAGAATACTTGCATAAATCGCCTCGCTAGCGACCTGGCTCCCTTCCTTCTTCTCCTCTCCTCCCAGCCTAGTCTCTTGTAATTTAGATCGCTCCTAGTGATAAGAAACTGCTCTATTGCCTGGAATTGGATCCGTCACAATTACCGCCTGCTTCTCCACATCCGCTATCCACCCCGCATTTCCCCCGGATTACAGTTTCCCCGGCCTTCGATCGCCGTTACACTGACTAAAGCTTGCACGTGTGACGATCACCAATGAGAATTTCCCCGAGATTAAGTAGCTTGCAGGGATGTCTCTCAACGAGTGATTAAAAAAAATCTTCTCTTCAACCATCTAAGTAAGGGTAGGTAGTGGCCGTCTACGTTTTATCTGGAGATTAGGAACGGATAATTAATTAATAGATCATTCATCATTAATGGCCAGATTCCAGAAAGAAGACAGCAGATCGGAGAATCAGTGGGTTTCGGTTTCGGCGTAATTCAGCGGAGATTTTGACGGAATAAATACAATCACCTCCTCACCTGCCTGATCGGGCAAAGATGGACGGATTTACTAGAGAACAAGATCAGCTTCCTGGACGATTCATCCAGTTTCTCAAGGAGGACGAGCTACAAAGCTCATGCATAAATACTTCGAACATGGTCCGTCCTTGTTGATTCATCACGGCAGTTGACAGTGTCAAGTAGTCCTTCATTTTTCTTCGGGACAAGATCATGGCTTCTACATTCAGCTCGTTGACGCTGCTGGGGCTACTAGCTCACAGCTTGCCAGCCCATGCTTCTGCCATCAGGACCACGCCGGCAGACCCGGCGCCATCTCCAACGTACAGCTACAGCTCTTTCTCCTATACGCAGATGACTTCGGACCGGTATGCCACGCCGCTGAAGTCACCTCTCTCCTTTCCGACGCCGTTTGCGCCGCCTTTCAGCAAAGCGTCAACTCTCCTGCCTGCCAATGTGACGTATACGACCTACTCGTTGAATCCACAAGCAACTGCTACTCCGGATGGTCAGTATGGGCAGAGCGCCTACGCTGCTCTCTGGACGAACCTCTCCTACTCCGACAGCCCGCCTTTCACCACCACCGTGTCCCCGACTCCGGTGCCCACGAGCGAATTGGTCTTTCCGCCGGCCCTGCCCGACCAATCTACCGATCAGAGCAACTTGACCTTGCCATCCGACTTTATCTGGGGAGTCGCCGGGAGTGCATGGCAGATTGAAGGCGGCCTTCAGATCGAAGGACGAGGACCGAGTGTCCTGGACACGATCGGCGCGCTGGGAATGTCCCAGGGGGCCAATGACTCCAACGTCGCCGACATGAACTACTTCCTGTACAAACAAGACATTGCAAGACTGGCGGCCCTGGGTGTCCCGCACTACTCCTTCTCGATCTCGTGGAGTCGCGTGGTCCCCTTCGGCGTGGCAGGCTCGCCCATCAACAAACAAGCGCTGAGTCACTATGACGACCTCATCAACACGTGTCTGGAATACGGCATCACTCCGATCGTGACGCTGGTGCATGCTGATGCTCCGCCTGCGGTCATCGCGGACGTATCGAACTTGACCACCCATTTCTTATACTACGCGAAGCAGGTGATGACAAGATACGGCGACCGAGTCCCGCACTGGGTGACGTTCAACGAGCCCAACATTGCCGTTGGATCGATGTTCAGCTCGTACAACGACTTGACGGCGACGTTGCTCGCGCATGCAGCCCTCTATGACTGGTACAAGCACGAACTTGGCGGCACGGGAAAGATCACCATGAAATTTGCCAATAATCTTGCGATGCCCCTGGACCCGAGCAATGAATCCCACGTCTCTGCTGCGCTGAGATATCAGGATTTCATCCTCGGCATCATGTCCAATCCGCTGTTCCTTGGAAAACAATACCCGGCTGACGCGCTGAAGACATTGGGTCCTAATCTGACGGCTCTGACTGACGAACAAATTGCTCAGATCCGTGGGAGAATCGACTTTTGGGCTTTCGACCCGTATGTCGCCCAATTCGCCTCTCCGCCACCCGGGGGTGTTGAGGCTTGCGCATCCGATCCCTCCAATCCTCTGTGGCCGAGCTGCGTGAGTCTGACCAATGTGCAAGCCAACGGCTGGCTGATGGGCGACGCCTCGAATGCATACGCCTACATCGCGCCACAGTACGTGCGTCAACAGCTCGGCTATGTCTGGAACACGTTCCGTCCTTCGGGGATCCTGATCGCCGAGTTTGGCTTCAACCCGTTTGCCGACAGTGAACGGTCCCTCGACGCTCAGCGGTACGATCTGGAGCGGACGCTTTACTACCAGAACTTCCTTCAGGAAATGCTAAAGGCCATTCACGAAGACGGCATCAATGTCATCGGCGCTCTTGCCTGGAGCTTTGTGGACAACAATGAATTCGGCAGTTTTGCGAACCAGTATGGCATGCAGGCCGTCAATCGCACTGATGGAAAATTTACAAGGAATTACAAGCGCAGTTTCTTTGATTTTGTGGACTTTTTTTCGAAGCATGTTGCGTCATGAGCTGCTGACTTGATCGCTTTCACAAGATGTGTAATTAGAAAGGTCAATATATATGTTCTCTCACTAACGTTCTTGCTAATAACGACTCCTCCAATGTAGTGTATATTTCTCCCCAGCTCTAACCGCCTTGACAGCGATTTAACAGGCATTAAGATTCCAAACTTGAAAGTGAGAAACGATTGCTGACGCAGAGTAAACAAAAGCCTTCTTATACAGAATGCTGCCGAAGTAGTATTTGGCAAACAAATTCGCGGCTGTGTTTCTGTGCTTCCCACCCACATACTAGGAATGATACCCATTTAATCCATGAACAAGTTTGTTGAACAAACTTGTTGACTATAAAATGTCGACAGGATTTATATATTTTGGCACCGTCGATGTGCCAAAACGCCAAAAGTGATATCCAAAGATATATCTCATATGCCATACCAACGAATATATATCTTATTTCATCCACATTCCTGCAACAAAAACACCTGACTTAAAAAAATCCCTCACAAAAGCACAGACATAATGAAGAAAGCAATCTCATTCTATCATCGAGAAACTACACGCTTCTCTACCGAGAATATAGATACATCCATCTAACAAGCTCTCCGATCGCCATAGTACCGCACACGCACATCATCCCCCTCCGCAACTCCAGGTGCATTGATCGTGTACACGTCTCCGGGGAACACATCAACCCCGTTGTCTTCCCACTGGATCCTGCGCTCGTCGTCCGCCATGTACAGCTCGACGCCCTTGACTGGCGCATTGGAGCTGATTTCGACTTTGCCGTCAAGTACGCGAAGCGTCACCTCGTACGCGGCTGGCAGCGTGACGTACTTGAGCGGTTGCGGCCAGTCGGATGCCCGTGCGACGAGGTGTCCGTCGGCGTCGAACATTATCGCCTGGATTGCTGTTTGGTCGTCAACGCTCCAGTCTGCGGCTAGCTCTGTCGACCGGTTCGCCGCCAGGGTTTGCACGCCCAGGGATTTCTTCTCCTGGAGCGCACCGGTCTTGATGTCGTACAGCTGCACTTCCACGCTGATTGTTTGATCCTGCAGTGTCATGTTCACCGCCCACACGTCGAAGACGTACCGTTTGAAGGCAAGGTCGTGCGGTGGTCCGAGTACTTGAGGAGGTGGTTTCTTGAGTGGCTTCAGTTCTGGCGTCGAGCGGTGGATGCCCAGGGCCAGCGGTGCGCTCTCACGCTTCACGGCGTAATATGCCAGCTTGCGTTCCCCGTAAAAGTCAACAAGCGCCCAGCTAGAAACCGGCCAGCAGTCGTTAATCTAGGATCGGTTAGCAGGGATCAAAGCACATGCGAAGCAATAAAAGGGACGGTCATGCCTGCCAGACGAGTTGACCGCCGCAGTACTCACGGCCAGGGCCCTTCCACTGCCGGCGGCAGCTGCGGATGGCAAAGGACATACACTCTGCCTGAACGAGCTGCGTGGCATAGATCCAGCTGTCGAGATCCATCGAGTCCACGCGGAGATTCTCCAGGACATACAGCGCCAACCGGCGTTCCGCACCGTCCGCCTTGTTGTGCAGGTTCAGCACGGCGCTCTGGGGATATCGCTGCGCTGGATTGGTGACGAAGCGACGGATGGATCTGGCCGATGGGAAGGCGAGCATGCCAAACTCGGAGACGAACCGTCCGACAAGCTTGTCCCACAGCTGGTACTTCTCCTGCGAGCCGTGCCAGACGTTCCACTGGTGGATGTCGCCAACGGTGCAGTCCTCGGTGTTCTTGCCGCCCCATGGAGAGCTCGGATGATAAGGGACGCCCGGCGCGTATTCGGCGACGATGGCCGGGAGATGCGTCTCGTAGATGGTGCGGGCTGGGAAGTTGGTTGCTGTCCAGTCGCCCGAGTGGTCGTCCGGGTCCCATTCCAGCTTGAGCATCTCGGCGACGGCGTAGTCTTCGTTGTTTCCGGCATAGAGGACGACGGAGCAATACTGTCGCAGCCGCTTGACCTGGTCGATGGCCTCCTTCTTGACAGAGGCTGCAAACTCGGGGTAGCACGGATACTGACCGCACGCAAACATGAAGTCCTGCCAGATCAGAACGCCTCGACGGTCGCACTCTTCGTACAAGGCGTCGTGTTCGTAGACGCCTCCGCCCCAGATACGTAGCATATTCTGGTTGCTGTCCAGACAGGATTGGACGGCAGACGCGTAGTCGCTCGGCGTCATGGCCGTCAGGAAGGAATGGCCGGGGATCCAGTTCGATCCTGACATGTAGATTGGGACGTTGTTGATTTTGAAGAAGGAGCTGGTGCCGGGTTCGTCCAGCAAAGGCTGCTGCACCAGGCGGAGACGTCGCATGCCCACCTGCTTTCTGGTGGTTTGGAGATGGGTTCCCTCCTTGTCGCGCAGACAGATGTCAACCGTGTAGAAGATCTGAGGACCGTAGCCGACGGGATACCAGAGCTCTGGCTTGGGAATGGCCAAGGAAGCTCGTCCGTGACCGTCAGTCGAGGATAACGCGGTTGTCGTGTGGAAAACCAGCTGGCTGGGAGAGGTGACAGTGATGTCGAGCGACACATCGCGGTCAAGAATGGCATCCCAGGAGACGTCCAGTGTCGCCTGCTGGAGATCATCGGCGACAGTTGCATTCGCAAAGACGTCGTAGACGATCGAGGCGTAGCTCTCCAGCCGGATCTCACGATAGGGGCCGCAGGTCAGGAGAATCGGTCCCCAGTCCCAGCCATAGTGATACTGGGCCTTGCGGACGTGCAACCGCGAGCTGTCACCGTTGAAGGCGCGATAACGGCCATGCTGGGCTTCGACAGCCTGGCCATGGCGCAGAGCGCTGGTGAAGACGATCCGGAGGGTGTTGGTGCCGCTGCGCAGCTTGCCTGTGACGTCGACGCGGTGGCGATGAAACATGTTGGACGAGATCAAGACGAGCTCCTCGGTCAGATAGACAGCTGCAATAGTGTCGAGGCCCTCGAAGACGAGGTCCTGGCGCGAGTGCTTCTCGTCCAGCTCGTACATGAAATCGCAGGCATACTCCCAGTCTGTCTCGCCCACCCACTGCACCAGCCGCTCGTTCTGGTCGACGAAAGGATCCGGGATGCGTTTCGCGTCGAGCAGATCCGTAAAGATCTCCGTCGTGGCCCTGGAGTGCGCGCAGGCGTGCCATTCCTCGCTGGCAGCGTGCTGGCGCCATCGCCAGCCAGCGAGAGTCACGGTAGTCAACGACATGGCAGCAGCAAAAATGGGAATACGAGACTGGAGAAGACACGTTTGAGCGCCATGGTCGAGCAGCCTCTGTTATATGGCCGTTAAAAGCGCGATGTGGAAGCTCATCTCAAGGGGGAAAGTCCGACGTTTTTTCCGAATTGTATATTTCCTAGCTTAGAGGCTCTTAGGGTTAGGGTTAGGGTTAGGGTTAGGGTTAGGGTTAGGGTTAGGGTTAGGGTTTAGGGTTAGGGTTAGGGTTAGGGTTAGGGTTAGGGTTAGGGTTAGGGTTAGGGTTAGGGTTAGGGTTAGGGTTAGGGTTAGGGTTTAGGGTTAGGGTTAGGGTTTGGGTTAGGGTTAGGTTTAGGGTTAGGGT